GACTCACAGGGGTGTAAGCAAGCAGCCCCCCCCCTCTCTAGAAACAAGGTGAGGTGGTGCAGTACCAGTCGACTGGGTTGTGCTTGTGCTGTAGTAGGTAGGGCGACTTCTCTGCCGCCAGTCGGTTCTCTTTGCGCTGAGGAGGAACCGCAGCAGGTGTAGTGGGAGCGGTGGAGAGGTGAGGGCCGCCACCCGTGTACCCGGTGGTGGCAGCAGCCGTAAAGTTGCGGCGTGAGTAGAGGCGGGCTGCTGCGGCCTGCTTACTCAGCGGGCGAGCTGCACTCGAGCGCGCAAGAAGACGGCCACTGGCACCCACAAGAGGGGCGCCTCCAGCCAAGTAGCGTCGCATCTTCGTTATTAGTTGTGGCCTTCTTCCTTCGTAAGCTGTTGTTTTAGCACCTGCTTTGTTTTCCGTTGCTTTTGCCTCGAGTTCGCCAAGAGGCTGGCCAAACTGCTGGCGAACAAGACTGTTGTTCTGTACACGCGTGAGCTTCATGAGAGTTCAGAGCGAGAGGCTACTTGGCTAGCTGCTGTAGCTCCACGGTCTTGCTCTTGATCCGTTCGTGTGTTGCCTCGGCCTCGCACGCTGCGTTGTCTCGGTCTGGTGTTGCAAAGACGGTTATGGCGGGTCGCTGCATCTTCGCGAGGATGGCACGTACCTCGCTGCACAAGTCCCTCGGCCTTCTGCTTGGGCAGGTGGATGAAGAAGTCACCAGCACAGTACCAGACCTTCGACTCTGCGTCTGGCTTGGCCAGGTACCCGAGTGCCTGCTTGTTTCGCTCTTCTCGGATCTCGTAGTTCCTCAGCTGCCGGCAGAACACGGACGGTTAGGGTGTGCATGTGAGGAGCCAGGATGAGCCCATACCGTTTGCTTCTCGGTGGCGATGTCTTCGCGAAGAGCCTCATACTCGACCGCTTGATCAATCGATAATCGCGACATAATCACAGCATCTCGTTCTCGCTCAAGCTCTTCCGGTGTCTTTTTTGGGCGCCCAGCTGTGGCTGGCCTGGCTTGAGATGGAGCCTTCTCCGACACCAAGAAGCCGCGCTTCATCTTGTCTTGTTCGATTTCGCTCCACACTCTTGAGGAAAAGATCTCGAGAAAATGCCAAGAAAAAGAGACAAAACTCGCATCGCGTCCAGTTGCGCGTTCAACTGCCCCAGCTGACCTTCTCATTTCCATCACCCGTCGGCATGCAGGTAGCGGTCCTTATCAATCCAAGATCTATCAGGCGCATTGGCAGGTTTATTCATTTTGTCTTCTAATTGTCGGTTAGGTGGACGAGACTCCGGCGGAGGGGGTGCAGTTCTTGTGCTATTTTTTCCACACACGAGTTGAATTCAGGCTCCCAGGTACGGCATTCTCTTGCGATTAATTGTTCTTCAGAATCTTATTCAAGATATCAATTGTTGATGGGCATCAGAGTTGGAGTCTCTTGCTCGTCTCTTCAACTATCCCCTCCACTACAACAAAGAGGAACATGATCCGGAGGTACAGCCCGGCACTAGACCGCTCACTTTCCGCTTTCTCTCTGCCTGCTGGCAGTTTGCTCACCACATGTCCATCTCTCAAGTGTCCGTTCTTGACTGTCACGCTTCCGTCCGAGAAGGCGGCCGCCGACATCGCGTCTCGGTCGGTGTTGATCAAGTAACCTTCCCCTCTTGCCACTCGTCTCGTGGTCAGCCACGGCTCCGACTCACGTTCGTTGTTTCGTGCACGTGCAGAGGGTTCTTCGAGAAATGGGGCGAAGGTAAGACCTATGAAGAGCTGCTCGCTTCCCTGGACAAGTATCCCAGGGAAAAGATGGTAATCGACACTCGCCATCTTCTTCACCTTCCCCTTCATCATCATCATCATCAACAAACTGCATGTCGATTGTATGGTCTTACACCAACTGGCCGTGTTCGCATCATCAGGAAATCTACGGTGCGGCGGACAAGTCCTTTAAGTTTGTGGTGGATGGGTTCGGCCGCAAGTACGATAACGCCGAGCGTATCGAGATCATGAAGCGCTTTGCCTCCCTTCCTCTGCATGGTTCCTCTTCTCACCTTCTAGCTCGCACTCAATGCTCCCACCCGCATTTCAACTCACAACAACAATCCATCGCTATGGACCCCACATGTCTTACATCAGGCAAGATTAGTCTGGAGGAACCGGACAACCGATTTTGGATCGTTGAAGACATTGGCAACAACGCACCTAAGGACATGCCGCCTCGCAAGATATACTTCGCTCGTCAGGTACCGCTTTGTGTGGCATCTCTATCGCGCCACAAGGTAGCGTCTGGCCTTACTCACGCAAGGCCGGTCATGTTAAGATTGCCGAGGGAGAAGGCCGAGTTGCCATTGACAAGTACTCGCTCAAGAAGAGAGGCTACCTCGGCACCACCTCGATGAGCAGCGAATGGTCCCTCCTGATGGCGAACCAGGCGCTTGCGCGGTCGGGTAGCTTCGTGTTTGACCCGTTCGTGGGCACCGGTGCGCGTCCTACCGGCCCACAACCCGGCCTCTCCTTTCGCAGGAGAAGCTAGGACTAACGCGCGTGCGCGTGTCTCGTGTGCATCTGACAGGAAGCATTCTGGTGGGCTGCGCTCATTTTGGAGCGATGACCATCGGTGGCGACATCGATCCGCGCGTGCTGCGGGGAGACACCAAGCTCAACCAGCAAGTCACAGGTTTCAACTCACTCCGCTCATATTTCCCATTCTCTCGTCGGTGTGATGGTGAGTGCTTACATTTCTTACTGGTGGCTGTTCCTGGCAGATGGATCCACAAACATTTTCACAAACTTTGCGCAGTACAAGATGGACGACAGGCTTGTGGACTTGGTTGCGTGCGATGGCTCTCGTCCTTGCTGGAGGCGCAACGCGCAGTGGTATGATGCCATTGTCGGCGATCGTACGTTCAACCCCCAGTTGCACGCCGAGTGTACCATTTCCCGCTGCGGTGGCACAGCCATTGGCTCATTTTTATCGCCTGTCAAACCTCCAGCGCCATACGGAGTGCGAGCTGGCGCGCGTAAGATCGGCAAGAAGGTCAAGCGGAAGGTCAAGGAGGCCCGCGTCGATCTGTACCACGCCTGCCCCCTGCGACCATGGCAGCTGCAAGCCATTCCTCCCGGGTGTAGGTTCTTACTGTGTTGTGTCTGTCGTGTCCGTCCATGCAGCGACCTGCCCCACATCCCTCAGTCCGTGCCCTATGATGTGCCGGACGTGTTGCGAGACCTGCTCGTTTTCGCCGCACAGACGCTGGTTATGGGCGGACGACTCGTCTACTGGCTGCCCACCACCGACCAGTGCGTGACTCCCCCCTCTCTTCCACTTCAGCTGGCAAGGGGTCTACCACTCTGACCGCGGCGTCGCAGGTACAAGGACAGCGACGTTCCGCTCCACCCCTGCCTCAAGCTGCTGGCCAACTCCGAGCAGGTGCTCTCCATGCGCCTGCGACGAAGGCTGATCACGATGGAGAAGATCATGGACTTTGATCCCTCTATCCATTCCGATATCACCGTACCCTTTGCCCTTTCTTTGGTGTGCGGTGGTGCGTGTGGTGGTGCGTGTGCGTGTGCGTGTGCTGGGTACTGATTGCACACGTGCTTGCAGGTCACCTACGGAGAGGACGCCGAAGGCCCGGCCCACGCCCACGTGTCGGACTACTTCCTCAAGCGCAAGCAGTTCGCCGAGGACAAGAAGGAGCCCCACGCAAGCAAAGAGGAGGCGTCGTCCTCCTCGTGAGTGAGGTCGTGCCAGCGTCGCGTGCACGTTTGGGCCAATGGGCAAGCAGGAAATACAGGGATAAAGTATGTGCACTAACAAGCAAGATTTTTCAAAGTTACAAACGAAGTCCGGCCTGGCTCTGTGCGTGCACCATGAATGCAGATGAGGTGAGCACGATTAATCAATTCAATCGATCCACCAGGAGGAATCTTGAATCTTGAGATCAATTGCGAAAAGTAACTGAATTTGGGTGGGGGGGAGGGCAGCACGCGAACAGGCAGAGCGAGGACATACTGAAGCAGCACCAGCACATCCTCGGGCAACGAGGGGATTGCCTGGCCGAGTTCATACGAACCAACCCTAACCAGGCCGGCGTCTTCACGTTGTTCCCGGATTTGCTGCAGACCCTCCTCCGCTCGCCCACCCCCTTTCCAAGGTCCGCATCTCCCTCGAGGGGGGCAGTTGGCTCTCTTTCTTCTTCTCACCCTCATCTCGTGCCATGCTCGTGCGCAGTGCTTCCCACGTGCACCAGGCCATGAATGAGTACATGGCAGCCCACCACAAGCCCGCGCCCGCGTCGTATCCCTCGAGCCCGGCCGTGGTGCTGCCGCCCACACCTCAGCAGGTCACCTCACCACCGCCACAGTACTCGGCCGACTCTCCGCCTGCGGGCGCGCGGGCCAGCAGCAAGGCCGGCCGAAAACCGGCGCGCAAGGTCAGTGGCGCCAGCTCGGCTCGGCGTACGACTCTTGCGACGCCCAAAGAGTCCTCCGTCCCCAGCGCTCCGCTGTCCAGGATTCACCCAGACCTAGACCCTCACTCTCGGTGCGTAGCTCTCAAAACTCGCGTTTTCGAGAGAAGTGCAAATGTGATTGTGCGCGAGAGGCTCACTCACGGTTGGCTTTGTTCAATGCTGACAGGATCGATGTGGCGCCGACCCAGGACGTGCTCTTCCTGCGCGACAAGAAGAAGCCGAACACGCCCGAATACCTGCATGTGACGGTCACCAACCCGAGGAACGCGCGGCTGGTTGCTGTCACGCTGGCACGAGACGGCGCGGATGAGATCGAGGACCCTAGCGTGGCCTTTGTCCCGCTAAAAGGCAACCAGTTCATGGTGCGTGTGCGACGTCATGTGTTCGTGTGACGTTCGTCGGTGCTCATCCGCTGAATGCGCACGCAGGTGCTGCTCGATACCTCGACCCTCTACAACAAAGCTGGCGTGCAGGTGATGCGTTTGCGCTTGATCGACCTGGAGTACGTCCCCTAAGGCCTTTCGCAGTTTTCGCCCTCGAGGTCAGCCCATTCACCCTCTGCGTTTCTGTATGTACGCCCTTCAAGGCAGCGGGTGGTCGCCCAGCAAGACTTCCACTACGTCGTGCATAGCAAGAGCACGCAGCGACCGGACATGTTCTATCGCGTGGCCATGCGCGAGCTCCAGCAGATTCCGGTACTACATTATTAGACCACTCCAGATGGGCACTGTTCCGCACCCTAACCGAGCCTCCACCTCGTGGTGGTCGGGTGGCAGACGTGGGAGGTGGCATGGAAGTGGATCTCCCGCTTCTATGCCAAGCGGTGCTACCGCGACCTCACCGGCAAGCAGAAGGCCGGCGCCAAAACGGATCAGCCCCTGCCTTCGGAGGACATCGTACTCAGCATCCACCGGCTGACTCCCAGCGAGGAGATCACCCCCGACATCTTCCAGCGGCTCATCGCGTGGACCAACTCCTTCTACGCGCTCTACAACACCGCTGACGTATACCTCTCCCGCTGTCGGCTGATGTAGCTCCGTTTCTGAATTATGTCGATCGGGTGCGCAGGTTCAAGCGCTGATGGAGTCGTCGTTGCTCCACTTCATCCCCCCTTCTCGGGTCGAGAAGGTCCTCAAGGAAGCCTCCGAGCTCACCGGCCGCCCCACGTTCTTGCTCCGCTTCTCGTCCCAGGTACCGCGCTTGCTTCTTTGCCCTCCGTTCCGTTTCGCTCACCATTGCGTGGCGCTGTCACAACGACAGCCGGACGCGCTCGCCTTGAATTTGTACAAGGGGCGCTTGCAGGCGACCATCGTGCGCATCTATGACCCTCACTCCGACAAGGCTCTGCGGGCGGCGCTCAATCAAATTATCGGTGCCGACTCTCCGCTATGAGGAACCACAAAGGCGTCCGTCTAAATTGATTGTTTGTGGTCATTGTCCTGTCGTCAGAGCTCCTGAAGCAGCCCGAACAAGAGGGCACTCTGGCGCTGCACTCCATTGACCGGCACACCGATGCGGGCTATCGGACGTGTGACGTCAAGCTGCTGGAGGAGACCATCAAACAGCTCAAGTGCATGAAGGACCACAGCCTCAAGCTGCCCCACGGCTACGAGAACAACACCACCTTCGGAACAGCTGTCAACGAGCTAGGTACCCCATCTCACCCTCCCTTCACACCGCGCCCGCGCCCAGGCCCTTGTCCGGCTCCTCATGCATCTGCATTCGTTTCAGCGGGAGGCAAGCGAAAGCACATCGAACCGGCTTCTCCCGCTGTTGGGTCTCCGTACGGCGCGCACCTGCCCAGCGAAGAAGAGGCTGAGGAGGAGCTGGATCACGGGCAGGTCCTTCGGCCCGCTGCCACCGGTGGGGCAGCCCACTCGGCCCAGGCCACTGTGGAAACCCTGTACGCCCAAGCCATGGTACGTACCGCGCAGGATCTCGTGTACTGCGCGCGGGTTCTCACCAAGCAATGTGGTGTCGTGTGGGGTTCTTCTTGGGTGTCTCAGGCAAATGAAGAGGTGGGCAGAAGTCTCTACGAGCTGCTCCGGCGACAGTTCGGCGGCCTCTCCCTCTCGCCTTTCGTTGAAGGAGAGGATATGGTTTACACACCCCTTCCATTGGGGGTCGTTTCGCATTGGGTGGCTCAGCTGATGATGTTTGCTAACCTGGCCCATTGCGGACGCACACAAGCAGGAGTCGCCATACATGAAGATCGAGCCGCTGCAGCTGAGCGAGGGCGTTGATGGTTGCGAGTCCAGCGAAATTGACAGCTTCTTTGACATCATCCTTTCATCTGAATGAGAGCACCTCGTGTGTCACAACGCTCACCTCTGTACATTGCCCTGTTCGACCTTTTGTAAATAGCGATTTTGCACGACGTTGAAGTAGAAGACGCTCGTCCCACGTGGCGAGCCGTGAACGCACAGTCTTCTATTTTTTTTAAACAGTTGATTTGATCTGTGCGATTAGCGCGTGGCGGAGAGCATCAGCAAGCGGCCAAACGGCAGGACATGTGCAAGAGGTCCTTCAACCTTGCTTGTAATAGGTACGGCCGCTCGGGCTGGTGTAGGTGGCACTGCCGCTGCCATTGTTGTAGTAAGTCGAGCCGTTGGGGTTCGAGTAGTAGTAGCTGCCGTTTGAGTTCGAGTAATGGTACGAGTTGGAGTTCGCGGCTGAGGAGCCGTAGTCACGGGTGCAGTAGTGATTGCCCTGGTTTGCAAGCGAAGTGTGGCGGGGCTGAATAGATTGGAATTGTTGGGATTAGTGGAGATGGAGAAGGAGGGACTCACCTGAGAGTTCGTTCCTGATCCGGTGCACGAGTACCCCTTCCTGTACGACATGTCGAGTATAGCGGCTGCTTCTTCTTTCTTAAGATTCTGTCGATTGCCTCACCAAAAAGAGGATGTTGTCTGCGCCAGTTCGCGCTACCAAATTTAAAACGTGCGGATTTGGCGGGAAAGGCGCGCGAGCGAGGCCGGGAAGGCGCAAGGTGCAAGACTGAAAGTCCACCACAACACCCTTCAGGGCTCACCCCACAGGTCTGTCCCTTTGCATCAAGCCTCCCGCAACAGAGCCTTGCCCAACCTCGGTGAATATTGACCCTATTTTTAAAGGTGTTTCAAATATTACTTCAAATACAATACATTTCGTAGTGGTTGGGCAAACCGAAAGTCTGCCACAAGTTGATGGAGGGCAGCGAGACGGAGCTGGATGGAAAAGGCGAAGATGGAGAAGGGGGCGAGGGCATGCATCGTTTGGACGGTTCGCGGCGCAGGGAGGTCGGCAGAAGGCGGGGTGAGGCAGTAACCAAGGAACTACGCGAGGAAGATGAAGATGACGATAGCGATAGCGAGAATGGAGGTGGATCCGACAGCGAAGACCAAGATGAGGGAGAATTGATTTTTCTCGAGGGAAACGAAGCGGCGTACGTAAAACACATCTACAATCGGGAGAGCGTCTTGTTGTCCAGAAAGGAGGACCTCATCCTCCTCGAGAGGTTGCGTCTCGCGGGGCGAAAGAGCGAAAGCGAGGTGGGGGGGACAAAGAACGAAAACGACGAAGACAGAAAGCGACACAGCGAAGACGAAGGACTGGCGCGACGTCATCCGCACCGCGTCAAGGCCACAGGGTCGGCTCCGTCATCGCCACTCACTCCGCCGCGGTGGGTGCGGGGCGAGCGGGGTCACCAGCGGCGGGACAGCAGCGATACCCCTGCGGGGCAGCAGCCCCAGCTGAATCGAACGATCAGCTTTGTGCGGAGAGCCCAGCAACCTTCGGCGCTTCGACAAGCAGACGATTGACCGTAACGTCCTACAAGCCTCTGCGCAGAGTGCGCCTGTGTTGAAACACAAACCCAACTGTCCATAAAACTCCTAGGGAGTGTAGCCCAATCCGCGTTTGGTGCATGGAGGCGCCGAGCTTCTGCGGTACGCACATCTGTGGCCGCGGGAGGAGCACACCGCGTTCAGTGCCAACTCGAGGCAGACCAGGAGAAAAGCGGCTGAGGGCAGGGAGGCAGCAACCCCGGGTGAGTCCTCCTGACCAGAAGACAGCTCACGTCACCGGATGTGAAGGTGCCGTGTTGAGCCACCGTTACAGGCTAGGGTGAGTCCCACGCACGCTGGTTGGCTGAGCAGCATGTAACCACACATCAGGGGTTTAATTTTGCAAACCGGGCCGCCAATGGTGGTCGCACACAGCAGCTTGAGGAGCGGCAAGGAGCTGCACGGCCATGCAGTGCGTGCTTGCGACTTCGCCTGCTGAAGACTACAGAAAAGTGGGAGATCGAAAATCCTACACGACTCTGATCTTGGCCTTTCAACCTTGGAGGAACGAGCCACTACACACAAGCGCGTTACTGTTGCCGGCACTCCCCATACCGCCAACAGCCGAGGCACCTTGAGCACCAATCCTAGAGGATGCAGAAGCAGGCCCAGCACTCAAGCTCCTGCCTGCTCCTCTGCGGTCTCCTCGTCCTGTGCATTCTGCCGCACCTTTGCCGAGGTACATTCCCTCTTTTCTCTTTTAATTTCTCTATCTATTTTTTCTGGTTCTGTGCTTGCCGGTCTAGCGGTACACGCCGCACTGACCACTGGACCACGTTGCAGGGGCGTTTACGTTGTCCCTGTTGCACACGGCCAATACGGACTCGCAGGTGCTGGCCGTGGGTCAATTCAACGGCCCGTGCACCCCTACCAATGCGACCAGCGGCAACGACTCCTACGTGGCCGAACCGGCCAACCTCCCGTGCATCGGGGGCGTGGCACGGAGGACGGCGCTCATCAAATCCATTCGCGCCAGCGTGGAGAACTCCCTCCTGATTGACGGCGGCTATCTCTTCACAGGCACGCACGACAACTCTCAGACCTGTGCGAGCTGTGAGTTAATCTCATGTCTCTCTTCTTTTTTCGTCACAGGCTCTGTGTTTTGGACGCTCTTCGGCACGGAGATGCTGGGGCAGTACTACCATGAGATGGGTACGCATGGCTTGGATCAAAGCGCAGTTGTTGGACTAACCGGCGTTTGATCTCGGTACGACGCAGGCTACGACGCGATCAAGATCGATCTGTTTGAGTTCTTTGGTGGCGTGGATCAGGTCGCTCCTTGCCTTCACACAGTGATCTCAAGTGGTAGACCGTTTGCACTGACGAGTGTAAATTGTCGTGAAGTTGGCCAAGTTCATCCAGCTGGTGCCCAACACCCAGGTCGTCGCGGCCAACCTGGTGGGCAAGAATGACTCCCGACTGGTCAACGCAACGATTGTGCCCTATGCCATCTTCACCTTTGCCAGCGGTGACAAGGCAAGCTCCTCTCCGTCTTCACACTACCAGTGGCGTGTTTATGTTCCTCACATCTATCGCTCTAGGTTGGCTACGCGGCTACTTTGGTGGCTCAAGTTGGAACGCGTTTCGAAGACTCCCGGTCGATCGTACGTTCACCCCTGGAACCGCATGGTAGAGAGTTCGCCACTCACTCGCTTTTTTTGCTTTTGGCTTCGCAGAACTCCTTCAGCGAGTTGAGTGGCATGCTACAAGCCGTGGGCAGCATGTTGAACCAAGGAGGTTCGTGCGAGTTGCCTCTCCCAACAACACGTTGCGGTACACGGTGCTGATCTGCTCTGCTGTGACTACTCAAGTCAACAAGATCATCGTCTCTGTGAGCGACGTGAGCGTGCTCGACTCAGTCATCAATTTTGTGCCGGGAATCGACATTGTGATACTCCCCAACGCCCTCTATGCCAACGACGAAGGTAGGTCACCTACCTTGTGATCTTGTACATCTTACATCGTCTCACACACTCTCGTGTGTGTGTGCGTGTGTGTGTGTGTGTGTGTGTGCGTCGTGTGTGCAGGAGTGCACGAAGTCGTACAGGGAACCTATCCTCAGGTCAAGTACATGGCCTGGGCCGGTTCTGAGGCGGGTCCTCAACCTCTGCTCGTCGTGGCCTCGGGTAACTTTGGCCGAAGGCTAGGAAGGTATGCGCTCATAAATAAGGCATTGATCTCTGCTGGTCAGTTGCCCGACTTGGCTCTGACATCTTCTCTCGTGGTGGTTTGGGGTTTTTTGTGCGCTTAGGCTCGACGTGACCTTCGATGACTATGGAGTGTTGACGTCGTGGAATGGGGAGTCCATTCAACTCGATGCGACGATCGACGCCGACCCCGGGATCCAGGAGCAGATATTGGCCCAAATGGACGAAGTCCGGGCCTCCTCAAGTAAGGTCGTGGGCAAAGCAGCCATCGACATTGAGTGGCAGGTACGGTGTTTGGACTCGCCTCCCTCGTCTCTGTGCTCACAGCCATCACGCACAGAACTCGTGCGTCTTCGGCGAATGTGCCATTGGCGGCTGGATCGCCGACGTCTTCCGCAACGTGACGGGAACTCGGATCGGGCTGGTCAACGGCGGCGCAGTCTAGTGCGTTCCCATCATTTCGATATCAAGCGAGGACTTGGACTAACGCCCGGTTGTGCAGTGGTCCGTTCCGGGAAGGGAGCATCACGCTCGGCGAGTACCTGGTGGTGTTTCCCTTTGGTTGGGACTTCCTGTTCACGTTCAGCCTCAAAGGCGAGGACCTCATCGTGGCCCTCGACAACTCGGTGTCCCTGGCCGACCAGACCAACCTGCCCCTCAGCGCTGGCGTGGGTCGATTCCTCTCGGTGCGCACTTTCACTTCATTTTGCGTGTGTCCTGCGTGCTGTGTGCCATGTGTCGGCTATTTGCTGTTGTGCGTGCGTGCTCCTTCTTGACAGTCCCTCTTGCCATCTCGTCAGGTGGCAGGCCTGAAGTTCACTTGGAACCCTACCTTACCGGTCGGACAGCGGGTCGTGGACGTATGGGTGGAGGGCGGTGATGGCAAGTGGGGTATCCTCGACCATCAGCAGTACTACTCCATCACCACGCTGGACTTCATCGCCAAGGGAGGTGACAGCTACGAAGAACTCGCCGCCAGTGCCGTCAGCCCCACCAGCTCGCAGCTTACAGCCGCCACGGTACTGCTACTCCCATGGCTTCTCTTGCTCGCTTCTTCCTCCCGTTTGCAGTGTTTCTCACAAGTTTTTACGCGCTTGTTCAGGCCATCGAAGCAGCCCTGGCCAAGTCATTCGTCGAGCCGATCTATGCCAAGGTGGATGGCCGCATCGCTCTGTCCAACGGCACGCGCATGACCTGCGTGGCGCCCGACCAGCGTATCTGCTCCAACAACGGATACTGCAAGGCCGGCGTCTGCCAGTGCACCGCGCCCGAAGCCGCCGGTACCCCGCGCTCACTCTCCGCCCTGCCACGTCAGCATTGAGGTGTGTTCATGCATTGCCGGTGTTGTTTGATCACATATGTGCGATACACAGGGCCGTACTGCATCTTCGGAGCTAAAACAAACAGCACGGGCGGTTCCGACGTGACGGGCATGGTGGTGGGCATCGTCGTGCCGGTGGTGGGCGTCGTGGTATGCGTGCTGCTCGTCGCCTTGGCGCTCTGCGCCCTCCTCATATTCCGCGTCACCAAGAAGAAAAAGGAAGAGTGGTACGCACACGTGCACACCTAGGCGCAGCTCACTGGCCTTGCCTGACTCGTGTGTGGTCGTGTGTGGTGTGTGGTGTGCGGTGTGCGGTGTGTGTGTGTTGGTGGACACCAGGGACATTAACTTCGATGAGCTGGACCTGGACCACAAGCTGGGTGAGGGCTCGTTCGGCGAGGTCTACAAGGGCAAGTGGAAGGGGACCGAGGTGGCGGTGAAGGTCATGACGCCGGGGCTCGTCACCAAGGAGATGAAGCTCAACTTCCACTCGGAAATGCGGGTCATGAGCGCCCTGCGGCACCCCAACGTGGTGCTCTTCATGGGCGCTTCCTCCAAGCCGCCGCGCATGTGCATCATCATGGAGTACATGGCCCTCGGCTCCCTCTACGATGTACGTGACTCCGCCATTCCGGTGTGCGGTGGTGCGTGCGTGTGCGTGTGCGTGTGCGTTGCCAAGTGTGTGCATGACCAACGCATTGTTCGATCGTCAGGTGTTGCATAACGACCTGGTCCCCTGCATTCCTATGACACTGTCGCTCAAGATCGCGCTGCGGGCCGCCAAGGGCATGCACTTTCTCCACTCGTACGTTGCCGTCGCGAACCCCGCCTGTAAACATACAGCTGACCCGCCTGGCTTGTTTGCGTTTCGCAACAGGTCCGGCATCGTGCATCGCGACCTCAAGTCCCTCAACCTGCTCTTGGACTCCAAGTGGAACGTTAAAGTGTCCGACTTTGGTATATGACCTCTTGCTCTTCTGTGCTCTGTGCTTCAAGAATGAATGACGGCTCACAGACTCGCAATGCGCGGCGGTCAGGGCTGGGCAAATTCAAGGACCAGATCAAGGCGTCGGACAGACACATCGGCAGCATCCCGTGGACCGCGCCCGAGGTGCTCGCCGAGCAGCCGGCCGTTGACTATATGCTCGCAGACATCTTCTCGTTCGGGGTGGTCCTTTTCGAAATTGTCACACGGCGCAACCCCTACGAGCATCTCAGGTGCGTGTGCCGTGTGCCGTGTGCCGTGTGCCGTGTGCCGTGTGCCGTGTGCCGTGTGCCGTCTGCCGTGTGCGGTCTTGTGTCACTAACGCGGACTTGGGGCGACACAATAGCGCGGCTGCGATCGCCGTGGGTGTGCTGAGGGACGACATGCGACCGACAACGCAAGTCGACGAGGACCAGTTGAAGGAGGTGCCCGCGCTCTACCTCGGGCTGATGCGAAACTGCTGGGACACCGACGCCAGCCTGCGCCCCACGTTCCTCGAGGTCATGACCCGTCTGGAGTCCCTTGTCGAGGACGAGTCCCCATCGACGGGCTCGTCCCCGATCAGCAGCACAACCTCGTTCCGCCCTCCGCCGCACGCCTCCCTCGGCGGTGCGCGAAGCGATAGTTCCGGCGGCTACGGCGAAGACGGCCAGGAGCTGTCGGAGATTGAGACCGATCGCCCACAGCGTACGCTGCTCCACTCTCACTCTCTGTAAAACTTGACGGCCGCTCACCAGCATTGTCTGTGTGTGTGTGTGTGTGTGTGTGTGTGTGTGTGTGTGTGTGTGTGTGTGTGTGTGTGTGTGTGCAGTGGGCGCCGGCGGTACCAAGCCGCCACGTGGAGAGGTGGTGATAGGCTTCTCGGACATAGCCAACGGCGACGCCTTGTGGGATTGGAACGCTGCGGCCATGCGCGATGCGACCCTCATCCACAACGACATCTTACGCGACCTCATGAAAAAGCACGGAGGTGCGCCTGGCTCCACGTCATCTTCTCCGTCTGCACTCTGCAGCAACGCTCGTGGCAAAATTGAGTCGAGATGCGCTGACGTATTGAGTCTCGTCCATGCAGGATACGAGGCAGTGTTGACTGCCATCGGGAACCACGGCGAGGGCTCGTTCTGTGTCGCCTTCCAGAAGTCGATCGATGCCGTCCGGTGGGCCACCGACGTGCAGAACGCGCTGCTCAAGGCAGAGTGGCCGGAGGTGCGCGTCATTCGTTCCGCTGGGTGGCACAGCTCAAGCTCACGACCGGTGGTGACAGGAGCTTCTCAAGTGCCCAGCTGCGGCGGAGGAGTGGGGCATTGCGAGCGATGGCCTTCTGTTTCGTGGGCCTCGTGTACGGATGGGCTTCCACCTTGGACGGCCCAAGGTCGTGCGAGAACCTGTCTACCGCTCTACGCAATACGCTGGTACGTCCCTGTCGTAACACACACACACACACACATCACACACACACGACACACACACGACACACAACCTCTAACTTCTCACTACCGACAACCAGGCGTGGCGGTAAAGTGTGCGGCCAAACTGGCTTCCGTGGCACAGGGTGGCCAAGTGCTGGTGACAGACTCACTGCGGAGGGACCTCGATGCCACCGCCACCGACAGAGCGCTCATCAAGCGGCTCCAACCCTCTGGGACGCTCGACCTTCTCCAATCCACAGGTAACCATACCCGCAGTAGCTTTAAAGGGGGCACGGACTCACCCTTTTCTGATGGGTCCATGTAGACCAGGAGCTATTCTTCGAGTTGAAAGTGGAGGGTCTGGAGGCGCGCTTCTTCCCCAAGACGTCTCCAGGCTCGCACACTTCTTTTTCGTCTTCTTTGGCCTCGATACGCGCCAGTGATTCCCTGGGGCACTCGTCGGACTCCATGCGTGCGCCCATCGATTTCTTGCGTTCTTCGCGCAGGGACACGTCTTACGCGGTAAGTCTTACTTGGCCGTTGGTGCGTGTGCGTGTGCGTGTGCGTGTGCGTGTACCAGGCTTCCTAACCCTAACTCGCTACGAATGCCCAGGAAACATGTGGGGCTGGCGGAACTGCAGTTGTGCAGGCATACGGAGACGAGGCCAAAAAAGCAAAAGAGGACCACTTCACGCCGCCCACCTCCGACTCCTCCCCAGGCTCCTCCACCTATGCCCTGCTGGACAACAAGGAGGTGTTCCTTACCAGCGCCAACCTCTGTCGGTACCGCAGCCACTCTCTTCAGTTCTTTTCGTCATACAATCAATGCAATAACTTTCGCTTTCGCTTTCGCTTTTTGTGCCCTGGTGCGCCGTGTGTGACCTGTATGTGTGGAATGACAGGTGGATCATTGATTACGAGGACCTGGCTCTGGGAGAGCAAGTGGGCACCGGGTCATACGGCTTGGTCTACATGGCCAAGTGGAAGGGCGTAGAGGTGGCCGTGAAGCGGTTCATCAAGCAGAAGCTCACCGAGCGACTCATGCTCGAGTTCCGCGCCGAAGTGGCCTTCCTCTCCGAGCTGCACCACCCCAACATCGTCCTCTTCATCGGTACACCGCACACACCCAACCTGGCGCACCTGGGCCATCGCAGACTCTCACACGCAACTCGACACAGGGGCGTGTGTGCGGAGCCCCAATTTGTGTATCGTGATGGAGTTTGTGAAGCGGGGCTCTCTGCGCACGCTCCTCTCCGACGCGACGCTCAAGCTGCCCTGGCAGCAGCGCCTGCGCATGCTGCATGGGGCCTCCCTCGCCATCTCCTATCTTCACTCTCTCGAGCCGGTTATTCTGCACCGCGATCTGAAGTCTTCTAACCTTTTGGTACCGCACGCACACACTACCGATCTCTTATATAACACACGACACGACACGACACGACCAACGACGCTAATGATGTAAAAACAGGTGGACGAAGCGTGGAACGTGAAGGTGGCCGACTTTGGGTTTGCCCGCATCAAGGAGGAGAACGCGACGATGACCCGGTGCGGCACGCCCTGCTGGACCGCCCCGGAGATCATCAAAGGCGACAATTACAGCGAAAAGGCCGACGTCTACAGGTACGTGTGTGTTGACGTCGACTTCGACTCCATAATCCATCAATGCGCGATGACGCTGATTGATGCCTGTGGCGGCTCTCGTGTGCGCAGCTTCGGCATCGTGATGTGGGAGGTGCTCACGCGCAAGGTGCCCTACGCCGACCAGACCTTCATGAGCGTCGCGCTGGAAATCCTCGACGGCAAGCGGCCCGATGTGCCCTCCGACTGTCCGCCCGAATTCAAGCAGCTCATGCAGCGCTGCTGGCACAAGGTAACCTTAACGCTCCACACCACCGCATTGGTTTGTTTCATTCTCACTTGGACGCGGGGCGCTCGCCCTTATGTTGGTGCACTCATAGCATCAGGACAAGAGGCCCTCCATGGAGGAGGTCACGGCCAGTCTCGAGGCACAGATCGGGGGGAGCCACCGGCGGTGTGGCGGTGACAACGTGTAAATAATAAAAATAAAAAAGAAATAAACCTTTCGTTTTGTTGTTTCAAATCGAAAGGAGATCATCTCATCGCAGAGATTTTGAAGCCAGAGGGCAAGTTTGAGGCGTACATGGAGGAGCTGCCCGACGAGCTGCTGTTGTATGTCGTCTCCTTCTTGTTGAGCCCCTCCCGCAGTGCGGGGTCGCCGGTGCAGCGGCCGGGTAAGCCCAAGTGGCGCAGCGCCCGGCGCGAACCGCACTGCAGCGAGGAGGCAGTGGCGGCCGTGGCGCGCGTCGGGGCCACCTGCCGCCGCCTGTACTGCATCACCGAGAGCGTGTGGCGTGACCTCCACCGCTGGCGCTTCACCTGCTCCCCCTTTCGCGAGCTCCAGGACCAGCCCCCTATCTTTCCCGACCCTTCGTGCGCCCCCCCCCCCGCCGCCTTCATTCTTTTAAATCATTTCGTTCTTTATTTTAATATTTTATTTAAATATTGATATTATCCTAATATTTTTGATTTTAATTCGGCGCAGGCTGCAGGGTCGTTGGAGAGAGCACTACATTCGCGATATCCGGTGGACCCGCATCGATGAAATCGAGCCCTATCGCGCCCAGCTTCCGGTGAGTATGAAGCGGAAGCCCTTCGGGTGCAACCTGATGGTGGACAGCAGCGGCGGGGTCAAGTCGCGGACGCGCATCATCTACGCGTCGGGCGACCGGGGCAAGGTCCACTCGCTGGTGCTGCGACGCGGCGAGCGCAGGCTCGAACAGGCCACGACCTACGATCTGGGCGCGGCGCACTCGCGCCACGGCAACCTCTACCGCATGCCGGCGCTCAAGCAGACGCGCGACTGGCTGGTGGTGGCGGGCAACAGCGGCGTGTGCGCCTTCCGGAAGGGCGACCCGTCGGCGAAGCTCACCGTCCGCGAGGCGGAGGGCGAGATCGAATTCGCCGTCAACCAGCCCAAGGCGTGGCTCGCCGTCAGCTGCGGCGCCCTGCCCGACAAGGTCTCCGTGTACGACATGGCGAGAGCGCAGCTCGTATCGACCATTGCCATTCGTACGCATCAAACCACACACGACACACACGACACACACGACACGCACAACACACACGACACACGACAGACACATCAAGGCTCACTTCGGGCTCTCACACACGTTCAGCACCTGAGCACTGTGCTTCGGGGATGGTGAGTCACCACGACTGCCTCGTCATCGGCGGCGCCACGAGCCTGCTGGTGGTCGACCTCCGCACGGGCGACGTCGTCAAGGAACTTATACCGACCGCGCTCTTCAACTCCGAGCGGGTCCAGCGCTGGCACATGGACCAGGACGACGTCTCCGACACCTTCCTCTGCTCCGCCATGCCGTGTACGCATTACCAGCATCACTCCGTGTCGTGTATGTGTGTTGTGTGTTGTGTGCGTGTGCGTGTGTGTGCGTGTGTGTGTGTATGTGTGGGTGTGTGTGTGGGTGTGTGTGTGTGTGTGTGGTGTCGCAGTTCGCTCACGCCACGCTCGTGCCATGCTTTCCAGTGGATTCGACACACGTGTTTCGGTGGAGCGATCTGGAGGAGTGCCGAAGCCTGCAGCTCAACTGGGCCAGCAGCGACGTCTCCTACAACCACCACGCCGTGTGGTGCCCCACCGTCTTCGGCATGCACATCGCGTCGCCGCAGCCGCCCCACAGGGAGCTCTCCCTGCGGTCGGGCGAGGCCAGCTTCGCCTACGCCGACGGGCGCAAGGCCATCATGACGGGCAACATCTACTCGATGGGCCAGAAGTGTGTGGTGGTGCACGACTTTGCCACCTGCGAGCGCAAGGTGTTCCATCCGCCCGGGGACTGCGATCCGCTGCGCCACCTCTACACTGCCGTGGCCGACGACCTCCTCGTCACCGCCTTCGACCACAACCTCGCCCTCTGGGACCTGGCCCTGGCCTTCCCCTGACGCCAGGGCACCACAAAATGTAAAAATAAACTGTTTTGCACGAAAGAATATGAGAAAAATAGCAAAAACTATTTTATCTGAAATTGCATATTTTATCATTGCTTGCTCTCGAGACAGCAGCAATAGCCTGCGACGACAGCCGAAGCGATGGAAGCAGAAGTAGCGCAGTCGCGGTGGGTCAGTGTGACCCATGCTTCGATGACGGCCCGAATCGGGAGCGAGGAGGCTGGTGCGGGTGGCGCGGTGTGGCAGTGGCTCAAGCCCGAGGTGGTGAGCAAAAAGGCGGCCCCTGGTGGCGGGGGTGGTACCACACGCGCCCAGGAGCTGGACGCCTGGCGCTCCACTCGCCGGGCCGACGCTGGGGTCAAGGGCACTCCACCCTCCGTGCGTATGGCCCACACGGCCTCCGCGCTCGGCACCAGCGGCTCGGAGGTGCTTGTGTTCGGCGGCCTTTCCGACACCCATAGGACTCTCCGCGATGCCTTCCTCCTCAACACAAGTACGCCAATTTATTTGCATTTATTTATTTATTATTTAATTTGACTAAAAATAGTAAAATCAATTCTTTACTTAATTATCCACTTAATGATTGTTTTAATGGTCGTGTCGAACGTGGTTACACAACAGAGACGTGGGAGTGGACGAGTGTGGAGCCGGCGTCGGAGCAGTGTCCGGCGGCGAGGGCGTACCACACGGCGTCCGTGATCTCGGGCAACAGGTGCTGGTCTTACGTTTTGTCATCACCATTTTAACTTAAATTATGGTGGAGATCGGACCTAAACAAACCATCTTGAGGTGAATGTAGGGTGGTGATGATCGGCGGCGAGTCGATGGAGGTTGTTGCCCGATACTACCACGCGAACAGAACTGTAGACCTGGAGCTGAACGCTGTGGACGTGTTCGACTTGACCACCAAGACGTGGACCTCTGTGGCGACGACCGTGAGCCCACGCAAGCAGCCGGACTCGCGAGCCGCCGAGGCGACACCGCAAGCGGACGACTTTCCACAACGCCGTTCTGGTGCGACCACATTGTCACCACCACCCTGAAACCTCACATAACACACACACACACACCACACACACACACACACGGCACACACATGATACACCGATGCACACAAGCTACACACATGAATCTCATGTGCGGTATCAGGTCATGCGGCGGTGGTGCTCAAGGGCGACCGTATTCTCATTTCCGGAGGAACCAACAAGACCATGGTCCAGGACCGCTGCTTTTGGGTGCTCCACACCAGCACCGACCCCAGTACGCTTCCCGTCCTGTACACGTGATGCATACCAACCATGTGAAACAACAACAACAACAACAACAACGCACGCATCACTCACCGCACACGCACCACCGCACACGCACACGCACCACCGCACACGCGCACGGCATATTTAGAAAAACCGTGGCGATGGGAGGCCATCGACGTTGGCACGCAGTACCCAGAGCCGCGATTCGGGTGAGCGATCTCTCACCATTCGCCTTCTCTTCCTGTCTGGCCCGATGATTAGAAGCTAACCTCACCGCGGTGGGTGGTGTGGGCGCAACAGTCACACGCTGGTGTCGGTCAACGACACGTCGGTGCTGCTCTTCGGCGGCAAGGACTACAAGTACACCTTCGATGACGTCCGACTCATTTCCCCTGGTGCCGCCCGATTGCAAAATTCGTCAGTGTGCCGTGTGCGTCATGTCTGCTGATGGTGTGTGTGCGTGCGGTGGTATGGTGTGTGCGTGTGCGGTGGTATGGTGCGTGTGCGGTGTTGACGTGTGTCAGACTTCAAGGAAATGGACTTCCTCGAGCCAGCCGCGGACAGCTTTCCCGTCCCGAGTCTGTTTGGCCACAGCGCACAGCAGGTCGGTTCGCAAATGGTGGTCATCGGCGGCAAAGCCTTCAACTCGAGTTCGACCGAGATCTACGTCTTCGATCTGCGTACGCGGCACTCTCTCTCTCTCTCTTTCTCGCACGCGCGCCACCGCAAACACACCGCCGCACGCGCCGCAGCCGACATCGCCATTTCTTGTGATCGCCGCACACGCACGAATCAGACCACCGCACGTGGAAGCGGCAGGCGACGAGCGCCAACCCGGAAAACTATCTGCCGCGGTACTACCACGCCTGCTGCGTGTTCGGCGGCAACAAGATTCTCATGTTCGGCGGTACGCACGACCGGCCCAGCGACAGCGTCCAACACCTCCTCCCCCCCCCACATCCATCGCCATCTGTGGCTGACCACTGTGGGTACCACCGTCGGCAGGGTACGACCTGGACTGGGGCTGCCAGAACGACATGGCCATTCTCGAGACCGGTGCGCGACCTACAAACATTGGCACGAGCGACTGCGTGCGGGCGATCTTATTGGGGGGAGGGGCTGTTGTGTGTGCGCGATGCAGGCATCGTGACCAGCGGGCTCGTCACCGATCTCAGCCGCCTCTTGAAGCAGGGCACGCTCAGCGATATGACCATCCGCGTCCGCTCGTCATCGCCGGCGTACACACTCCCTTTCCGGCCCATTGCTTCAGTGTCGACACACGGTGCTCGGTTGCTCACCCACCACCGGTGAATGCAGACAGGACCACCAAATCGCGGCCCATCGGGCGCTCGTAGCGGCGCGTTGCCCTTCGCTGTTCGAACTGGCCTCGTCAGGGCCTCACGATGAGCGCGGCTGCGTGGTCGATGTGGAGGGCGACCCCGAGGCGTGGACCCACTTCGTGCACTTCCTCTACACGGGCCTCTTTGCCGATCGAAGCGGCGACGACGCGGCCTTTGCGGAGGAGTGCGGCCGCAGCCAGGTCAAGAAGAGCCTCACGACCGACGACACCGAAGTGGTCGCGCAGCTGCTGGACATCAACGCACGCCACCCGGTGGTCGGGCTGGCCGACCTGCTGGTGGAGTCGAAGGGCGGGGCGCCGCGTCGGGTGCTGCCCGAGCGGGAGGTCATCCACAGCGAGACCCTGCCGCCCCTGGTCAACGCCCTCCACGACATGCTCAAGCAGGAGCGGCAGCAGAAGCAACAAAAGGCGAAGCTGCAGGACATCACCCTCAAGTTGCAGCAGAACGGCGGAGACGCGCCCGCTCGATCGGCGCATCGCTTCATGCTCGCCGCCAGGAGTAACGCTTCTCTCCCTCTCCACACGCACACGCACACGCACACGCACACGCACACGCACACGCACACGCACACGCACACGCACACCTAAAGTATTGGTCGGGTTGTGCTCGCTCACATGTGTGCGTGTGCACAATTTGTCGATAGGTGAGTATTTCAGGGCGATGCTGCGCTTCGATGGCCATGAGTCCAACGAGGAGGTCCGACTGCTGGAGCTCAGCGAGAACGTGTCCCCCCAGGCCCTCGACGTCATCCTCGCCTTCCTCTACACCGATCGGTGTCTATCCGCTGTGCCGTGTGCCGTGTGCCGTGTGTGCCGTGTGTCGTGTGTGTCGTGTGTGTCGTGTGCCGTGCGTGTTTGGCCGGAGCTCTGGACTCACCACGTCATTGGGTTGGGCAGGGTGGATGTGGGCCACCTGGAGGTGGACGAGGCGCTCGAGCTGGTGGGTGTGGCCAACGAGTACCTCCTGGGCGAGCTCAAGCTGTTCGTCGAGCGGTTCGTGATCTCGAGCAAGGCCGTCGACGAGGAGAACGTGTTCTTCGTGCTCGACACCAGCGAGCACTTTGACGCCCACGAGCTGCGCTACCACTGCGTGGGCCTGCTCGCCCAGAGTACCAACACCAGCGCCGAGTTCAACCAGCAGCTCGCCGCCCTGCCCCCGCACCTCCAGGCAGCCATACGCGAACGCCAGGACTGAACCTTTCGCATTGGGCGAATAAAATAAAAAAAGAAAGGCGAATTCAAAGCATGCCGATGACCTGCTTGACCTCTTGCAGGTTGCGTCGGGCGATGGTGCGCGCCCTGCTGGCCCCCTGCTGCAACACGTCCTCCACCCACTGCGGCTTGTCCCGCAGCTCCCGAATCCGCTCGCCGATCGGCCCCACCGTGTCCTGCACCAAAGCCGTTCGTGTCGTGCGCCATGTACGCGTGTGTCGTGTGTCATGAGACAACGCAAATGTGGCGCAGAGCCTGGCCACTGCGTGTGCATGTGGTACCACGAGGTGCGGCGCCAGAGCGTTCTTGAAGTCGGGCATCTTGGCGTCGGCGTACTCGTGGCACAGCGACTCGACCGAGCGGTTGGTCAGCGCCGAGAAGATGCTCAGCAAATTGGCCAGCTCTGAACACAGCCAAAACAAATAAATGAATTAACAAACAAACAAACAAGAATAAACAAATAATCGATCGTGGCTGTGCCAAACGACGCGCGTACCCGGCCTGTTCTCGGGATCGTAAACGATGCCGGGAAGTGGGTCAGTCTTGGCCTTCTGCAGCTTGAACAAGATCTAACAGACACGACACACGCAGCACACGACACGCACACGCACACGACACGCACACGACACACATGAGAGACAATGGTCAGACGTAGGAATAGAATGACCACCAGCCCGCCGAGCTTGGAGGTCGGAGGCACCTCGTCCTTGCTGTCGGTGAGGTTGATGCGGCTTCGGTCGTTGGGATCGGATTTGCTCATCTTGGCGGTACCGTCGCGCAGGCTCATGACACGCGTCGCCTGGCCCAATATCGGCTGGGGCAGCGGGAACAGCGTTCGGTTGTAGCGCCGGTTGAACGCCTCTGTTGCCACATACCGGACGGGTCGTGCCGTGCGTGAGTTGGGGCGCATGAACACACACACACACAACACACACAACACACACAACACACACAACACACACAACACACACACAACACACACACGAACGGACTCCACGATACCGGCAATCTCCCTGGCCAGCTCCAGGTGCTGCAACTGATCATCGCCCACGGGAATTTGGCTTGCTCTGCCCCCGCCCACCGCCCACCGCGAACGTTAAGCGACTGCACGCGACGCCTCGCCAGGCAAGGCGTAGTAGTAGGAGTAGTGGTGGTAGTGGTAGGACGCACCGATAGAGCAAGATGTCGGCGGCCATGAGTACGGGGTAGGCGAACAGGCCGAACATGGCCCCCTGCGACGCCTTCTTCTCCTGCACTCATGTCATCAGCTGATGGGGTCAGTCACACTTGGTTCGACACGCAGCGCGAGGAAGACGGTGAAGGTGGTGGATGAGGTGATGATGATGATGATGATGATGATGATGATGATGATGATGATGATGATGATGATGATGATGAAGGTGGTGATGGGCGAGACGACGATGCCTTGTACTGGGTCATTCGATTGAGGGCGCCCATGGTGGTGCGACAGCCCAGGATCCAGGCCAGCTCCGCGTGCTCGGCCACCTCGCTCTGGGCGTAGAGGATGCACTTCTCGGGGTCGATCCCGCAGGCGAGGAGCGCGATGGCCATCTCGCGCGTGCTGTCGCGCAGGTCCTCCGGCGTCACGTCCGTCGTGTAGGAGTGCATGTTCACCACGCAGAAGACCACCCCGTCCCTGTCCCCCTTCTGCGCTTGACGCCATCGCCGCACCACAACCGCGCCCGAGAGTGAGCCGTGAGTGCGCAAGCAAGTGACAGTGTAGTTGGGGGGGGGGTCAATGGGGCGTACGCGCTGCTCCTGGAGCTGCAGCCAGTTGACGACGGCGCCGAGGTAGTTGCCCAGGTGCAGGTGGCCCTTGGGCTGGATGCCCGAGAAAATGCGCCCGGCCTCGGCCTGCCGCCACAATGAGTTGTTAAAATACAAATACAAAATGTAAATGTAAATAAAAGTAATATTAAATTGCCGATAGTAGAATGTTGATGATAATCCGAATAATAAAAAATGAAAAGAGGAGTAGAGCGGTACGGTGCATGCGGAATCGGAGCTGATCGCGGAAGGCGTGGCGGCTGTGGAGTAAAGACAGGACGCAGACCTGCACTTGAGTGTCCGGCGCACCGGGAGGCCCCGATACGGAGCCAGCGCCAGCCCAGATCCCCTCCGGCCACACGATTGCCTCAACATCTCGCGAAGCTTCCTATCTCTTTTGCCTCCGTTTCGAGCGTACCAGGAAATCCAAAAAGCAAAAAGAAAACCGGGAAAATAGGATTTTCTTATTGTCGACTTGGTGGTTGTCATTGGCTCAAATTAATAAAGAACTTTTTTTCTGCGCTCGAGCAGAACAGTTGATTCACCTCTGCGTGCCCTCGCAACGATTTTCATCCCCCTCTCCCGATTTACAGCCCAACTTGTACAGTGCCAACGTCATCGCGAGAATGAACACAGACGACCCGGAGGAACACTACACCCTCATGGGCCTCATCGGCAGCGGGTGCGCTTCCCCCTCTTACAAAAGTAATATATTTTATAATCGGTTATGGATTATTTATTGATGATTTATTTAACGTTTACCTGATATTTTAACAATTTATGTACTTTAATAATCAAAAAAGGAGTTTTGGCCGAGTGTACAAAGCGATGGACAAGGGAACGGGGGAGATGGTGGCCATCAAAATCATCCCCATCTGCGACGAGGACAACGAAGACGAGCTCACGAAAATCGTGCGGGAGATCGACCACCTCAAGAAGTGCGACTCGCCCTACGTCACCGCCTACTACGGGTCCTACTTCAGAAACAAGCGCCTCTGGGTTCGTGCCCTCTCTCTTTTCTCTTTTCTCGCTCTTTCTGGTGTGTTTCGTTTTCGTTCTTTGGCTACAGCTGAGGTGGCAGTCGGACTTAAGAGGTGGTGGGTTGAGCGCGGGTCGGAGCTAAACTTCCTTGTGTGGGTTGGTGGTGGTAAGTGCAGATAGTGATGGAGTTCTGTTCGGGAGGCAGCCTGAAGAAGATAATGAACCGCCTCAAGTCACCATTCTCCGAGGACGAAATTGCTGCCGTGTGCTTCCAGGTTCCAACTCCACTCACACTTCCCCTTCTTCTCCCTTCATTGTCATCATCATCATCTTCTTCTTCTTCTCGTCCTAACCGCTGTCTTCTTCTTGGGCTCTCAAGGTGGTGAAGGGTCTGCATTATCTGCACTCCCAACGACTACTGCATCGCGACGTGAAAGCCGGTACCAACGCTTTCGGCCCTTCTCCCTCAGCCAACACGCAGCGTTTGTGCATTGACTCTCTCTCTCTCTCTTCTCTCTTCTCTCTTCACTCTTCTCTTTGGTGGGTTGATTTGTGTCGACGTATAGACAATATTTTGCTGAACTCGAAAGGCTCTGCTAAGCTCGGTACAGCCCTCAAACCCCCCAACCACTGCCCAGCCACCACCACTGACCTCGCTTTTCTTTGCAGCCGATTTGGGGGTGGCCACGCAGATGGTGAACACGATGGACAAACACAAAACGGCAACCGGCACACCGTACTGGATGGTACCGCCGCGTGCCGCACACGCACTCGACCCTATACGACACTGCCGTGCCGTGCTGACAATCGGAGCCGTGGTTATGATTGATTGGCGTGCAGGCGCCCGAGCTGGTTTGCGAACAGGAGTACACGACGCGGGTGGACATCTGGTCGCTCGGCATCACCTGCATTGAGCTTGCTGAGATGGTGCCCCCGCACTCCGGCCTTCTGGCCATGCGGGTGCAGTTTCCTTCACGATCGCACACACCACACATGGACCGCACTCAACCGATCTTGTCTGTTCATTGCGCAGGCACTGTTCATTATCGCATCGCCCAACACGCCACCGCCCAAGCTGACGAGCCCCGAGAAATGGTCGGCCGACTTCCAGGACTTCATCGCGCGATGCCTCATTCGCGAGTACGACCAGAGGGCCACCGCCGATGAGCTTCTCAAGGTGCCACCTTGAGCTGTTGCAGTGCTCTGTGGACACTGACGTTGTATGCGTCGCGTGCGTGCGGCGGGCATTGTTTGTGCTGACGCGGCCTTTCTTTTTGTGTGCGTGCACACGTCAGCATCCATTTTTGGCCAAGGGCGAACGGCTGGCGGGCCTGCTGACCGAGCTTGTGGAACGAGTAAACCACCTCTCGCCCCGAGAAGAGAAGGTATACCACCCGCTGCCGCCGCACACATGGCATGACCACACGACACGCAACCCACGCACACGCAACACGCAACTCACCCGCACACATTCTACGCCGAAACAGAAGTTGCGAAAGAAGAGCGCTCAGAAGTCCAAGTTTGCGAAGATCTTCGCAAAGGTGCACGCGTCGTCGCCGTACGATGCGTCGAGCGACGGCTCGAAGGAGGAGGAGATCGTGACGTCGATCAAGCGCGCCAAGGAGATGGAGCGCGTCCCGCGGTCGACCGAGGGCAGCGTGACGTCGCTCGAGGAGTTCAAGTCCGAGGAGATGAGCTGCGAGAGCGTCAAGATCAACCGCAAGGACTACCTCCCCGACGGCGACGGCGACGACGATGAAAAGAAGGAAGGGGAGGGGGAAGGCGATGAGGGGGAGGGGGCGAAGCTGCGGGGCGAGGAGAGCGTGGGCACCATGGAGGCGGAGACGGTGGGCCAGTGGCGGACCGCCGCTGGCGGCGGAGAGCAGCAGAAGGGCAGCGGCGCCTGAATCGAGTGATGGTGGTGGTGGGCATGAAGCGATGTACAGTACCGCGCCCACAACGCAACGAGGAATCCTTTTTTTTCAGCAGCCAAGCCCCCCTGCCGCACGCACGACACGCACACGATAACGCACGACGTACAGTAGATACCGGGAGAAAACCCGGCACGCCACAATAATTGTGGAAATAACTCGGAAATCAGGGATTTTCTTTTGTGATTTGATTTTTTGATTCTGAATTTATTTTTTTGGCTCCGGAGAAGATTGAGATTGTTCGCTCCTCCTCCATTCATTCTTCACCTGACGCGCAGGACCTGGACAGATGGAGGGCAAGATCGCAAATCGAGGAGGCAGCCGTGGCGGAAAGGGCCGAGGCGGCGGTCGCGGCGGTGTGAGCATGCGAGGCGGCGGCCGAGGTGGCGGTGGCGGCCGAGGTGGACGAGGAGGTCGTGGTGGACGTGGTGGACGAGGCGGACGTGGTGGTAGAGGTGGCCGAGGCGGCGGCGAGTTCCGCTCGAAGTACGATGAAGGGCTTACGCCGCGGGAAATGGAGCGGAAGCGGAAGAGGCAGGAGGTGGAGTACTACGAGAACCCGCCGACGTTCACGAAGGCCGATGAGAAGGAGGAGGCACAGCTCGAGGACATGCTCTTCGGCTCGGTCGCCGTCGACAATTTCGGTAATGAGCTGGAACATGGAGATGAAGATGAGATTCGGCGAGATGAAGAAGATGGAGATGACGATGACGACATCCGAAGGGTGCCGATGAACACGGTGTGGGTGGACAAGGGCGGAGTCATGGTCGCGCTCAAGCAAGAGGAGGACTCGGACGCCGCGGCTGAGATCAAAACTGAAAATGACGAAGATGAAGATGATGAAGATGAAGATGAAGATGAGGAAGAAGTAGAGGAGGAGGAAGTCAAACAAGAAAAGAAGTTGCAGCCGGCGTGGGAAGATGAAGATGATGCGGGCGAGGAGGTGCGCATCGCCACGCGCGATCCCAAGAAGCGCAAGCTGCTCAAGCAGCTCGACGAGACCGTCATCACCGGAGCCGAATACACCCAACGACTGCGCGAAAGGTTCTCCTTCTGTTTAGACAATTTATTTTTATTTTTATTTTTAATTTTTATTACTTTTATTGTAACCATCTATTTATATTTCTAATTCAATTTATTTGATAAAACGGTCTTATATTTATTCGTCATTTTAAAATGGCAGGTTTGAGATGGTCACCCACCAGGGGTCTGGCGGGCCGTCGTGGGCCAAGCTGCCCGAGGACATCGACACCGTGCAAGGTACAGCCGCACACGCAACACCGCACACGCACACGCACACGCGGCACACGGTCGTCTAACCTGTGTCGCACAGACGAAGACGAGGAGGACATTCTGGCGACCGCCGAGGCGCTGGTCGGGTCCAACCCAGAGAGGCTCGCGCCCAGCATTCTCAACGTCACCCGCCTCAAAGACGCCAACCACGAGGTACTCCCCGCGCCTACACCGGCCAGCCCCAGCAGCGACCAAGACCGTAGCCTAACGACACGACACGACACGACACGACACGACACGACACGACACGACACGACACGACACGACACGACACGACACGACACGACACGACACGACACGACACGACACGACACGACGTGGCATGACACAGGAACATTCGAGAGGCCTGCACACGCTCCACTTCCACTCCAACGCGCAGCTGATGCTGGTTGGCGGCCAAGACAAGAAGCTCAACCTCTTCCAGGTCATTACCATCATCGTCGCCAACATTGTCGTCGTCATCACCATCAGCATCTGAACGCGTGTGTCGTGTCGTGTCGTGTGTGCGGTGTGTGCAGATTGATGGCAAGAAGAATCGCAAGGTGCAGGGTGTGGTGTTCAAGGACACGCCCATCGTGAAGGCGTGGTTCACGCCCGACGGTCGCGAGGCCATCGTCACCGGCCGCAAGCCCTGGATCTACGTGTACGACGTCGTGACGGGCAACGTCTCCAAAGCCTGGTACCCTGCCGGTACGCACCGCACACGCACACGCACCGCACACGCACACGCACCACCGCACGCGCACACAACACTCACCGCGAACGGTGAATTGCAGGCAGGGAAGAGGCGAGTACGGAGCACTCGTTCTATTCGCAGGACAACAAGTACCTGGCCTTCTGCGGCAAGAACGGCAACGTGCACCTGACCTCCAACCAGACCAAGCAGAAGATCGCCGACTTCAAGATGAACAACATCTCCATCACCGTCAGCTTCTCCCCGGACGGCCTCACCATGTTCACCGGCGGCGGAGGTAATTACTCACACTCACCCTTTCTCTGCCCCATTGCCTCCCGTCATCCACTAACGTGTGTGTCGTGTCGTGTCGTGTGTGCGATGGTTAGATGCGTCCATCTACCAGTGGGACTTGCGAACGCGCAGGTGTATCTACAAGTTCATCGATGAGGGCATGAGCAAGACCAGCTCCCTCGCCATTTCCCCCTCCGGCGCCTACCACGCCGTCGGGTACCTTACCTCCTCCTCCTCCCCCCTTGCCGCCACACCACCGCCGCTCTGCCGGCTCTCGCGGCTTCTCACCACGATTGGGGTTGCAGGTCGCAGACGGGCGTGGTGAACGTGTACTCGGCGGAGACGATGGCCGCGCGCGAAACCAAGCCCACGCCGCACAAGGCGCTCATGAACCTGCAGACCTCCGTCAACGCCGTCAAGTTCAACCACGACACACAAATCATGGGCATGAGCTCGTGGGTCAAGACCTCTGCCTTCCGTTTGGTACCACCACTACCAACCATCAACTTCCACTTCCGTTGCCGTCATCCATCCTCACCTTCGTTCCTTTTCTTCGTTCTTCGTTCTTTCTTCCTCGTTCAGGTGCACTTGCCCTCGATGTCGGTGTTCGGCAACTGGCCGACCGACCGCACGCCGCTGGGCAAGGTGATGGACTTTGACTTCTCGCCCCACAGCGGTTTCCTCGCCCTCGGCACCCACAGAGGCAAGGTCCTCCTCTACCGGCTCAACCACTACAACAGCGCCTAAGCCCCCCCCCCACTCTCAACTATCAACTTTTTGTTTCCAACTCTCTTGATTCAGAAATAAATACACATCAACAACCAAAGTACTCCCCTACACGTTCAACGTGGCCTTCATGTAGCGGCCTGGGTGGTGGTGGACGATGATGGTTCGTTGATGATGGTGGTTCACCGCTGGACGAGGGACTCGTAGCCGCCGCTGGCGTTGAGGCTGGCGGGGTCGCCGAAGAGAGGGAGGTAGGGCGAGCCGGGGGCGGGGTGCAGCAGGCGGAGGGGCGCGGCGAGGTCGGCCACCACGTCGCCCATCGAGTCGTAGCTCCGATCGTCGCTGGCCGAGTACCGCACCACTCCTGCGGGCCGTCGCTCGCTGCCGTCGAGGTCGTCGGGCGGTGGCTGGCGTTGGCCCAGGATGCGGATGTGGGAGGTGCCCTGGGGCGTGACGCGCGAAATGGTGTACGCGCCCGGGCTGCTGCTCGAGAACCGCACCAGAAAGGTGCCCTCCGCCGCACCCGCCAACAGGCGCGCCATGTCCTGCCGAGCGCAAAGGAATGGTGAGCTGCCGCCGGGCGTGATGGGTTGTGTTGTGTCGTGGTACAACGGCTGGGCGTGGTGGGTACGTTGTTGGTGAGGAGGCCGTGGAACCAGGGCTGGGTGAGGAGGGCCAGCAGGCGGTCGAGGAGGCGGGGGCTGGCCTCGAAGGGGGCGAACCATTCGACCATCTTGCTGAACCACTCGATGCTCACCACCTCCCGCCCCCGTTTGCCTCTGCTCTCCTCCGTTACTACCGACCCCGCCGCTACCGTGTAAGCATGACTGGCGGCGTGTGCGTGTGCGGTGGTGCGCGTGCGCGTGTGTCGTGCCGTGTGCGTGTCGTGCGTACCAAAGAGAGCTTTGACACATCTCAGCTGCGCCACCTCGGCCGAAGGCGGCGGATTGTACACGGGCGACGCGCCCACTCGGCCTTGCTCGGATCCTCCGCCGGCAGGCGTCGCTGTTCGTTTGTGGGGCGGGGTCCTGTGTGTGTGTGTGTGTGTGTGTGTGTGTGTGTGTGTGTGTGTGTGTGTGAGTGCGTGTGGTCCGTCACGCGTGCGCGCGTCTGCGGGCAGACGTACCTCTTGTCCTGCCCTGGTTGTGTTGCGGGTTCTTGGGCGGGCAGCGGGTCGTCGGGGTCGTGCGGGAGTTCGAGCCCGAGGAATCGCCACAGCTTGCGCGCGAACACGGGCCACGGGAGGGCGTACTCGTGCAGGCTCGCATCGGCCTTCCAGAACGTGCGCGCCACCTCGTCCTCGATCGCGCTGTCGATGATGATGCCGTCCAGCCGCTCGTTGATCTCCTCAAAGTCAGGCCTTGACGACGGTGGTGCGTCCACCGCGTCAGCGACCACGCGTTTGTACGTGCGTGCGTGTGCCGTGTGTGTGTGTGTGTGTGTGTGTGTGTGTGTGTGTGTGTGTGTGTGTTGTGTGTGTGTGTGTGTGTGTGTGTGTGTGTGTGGTGTCGCGACAGGGAGGTACCGGAGCGATACGTCGTTGCGCCAGCAGTCCTCGATGAGGGAGAAGAGGGCGGGTGGACAGGAGGCCTCGGGGATGATGGGCCGCTCGCCCTCGTCGCCCACGGCCACCAGGAACTTGTTCCAGTCGCGATGGTGCTCGAACGGCTTCTGCTCCGTCAACAGCTCCCTGTCGCAGCCGGTGGCATCCAACGTCATCGTGTGCGGTGTGTGCGGTGTGTGAGGTGTGTGCGGTGTGTGCGGTGTGTGTGGTACCAGAGTACGATGCCGAAGCTGTAGACGTCGGCCTTTTCGTTGAAGTCGCGCTTGCGCATCACCTCGGGGGCCATGTACAAGGGCGTACCGCGCACGGCCCCCAGATCGCGGATGGCTTCTTGCGACGATTCCTTGATCGCGCTCAGCCCAAAGTCGCACCTGCCCGCGCGTCGCACAAAAGAATAAACCATCAACAGCTGCAGCTCAGCCCTGCGGCCGCAGTTCTACAACGCACAGTTTCACCCGATACTCGTCGCCTTGCCGGTAGATCAGCAGATTCGCCAGCTTGAGATCTGGCGTTTTGCAATGAAGTCGTCAGCGTGTGCGTGTGCGTCAGCGTGTGCGTGTGCGTGTGCGGTGGTACCTCGATGGATGATGCGCGGGTTGGAGTGGTGGAGCCAGTTCATGCCGAGGGCGGCGTCCTTGGCGAGCTTCATCTTCTGGAACAGACTGAGCTTGACCTTTTGCTTGTGGATCAGATCGTACAGGTCCCCCTCCAGCAACTGCCGCACCACACCATGTCATCCGATCAGACATCTCTGTCACATATGTGCGTGTGCGTGTGCGTGTACGGTGGTGCGTGGTGCGCGTGCGTGTGCCATTTATAGGCGGGCTGGGCTGCGGACCTCGGTGACGATCCTGAACTGGCCCTCCTGGGTGCAGGCGCCCATGAATAGCACTATGCACGGATGCGGATTGGCACTGTGGCGGCGTTTTCGTCAGAGTCACTACCGCAGTAGGTGGTGCGTGGCCTGTGTGGTGCTCGTGTGTGGGGGTACCTCATGATGGCGATTTCTGTGCGGAGGCCATGCAGCTGGAGGGCATTGAGCCGCTGCAGCCGGGGCACCTTGACCGCCACGTCCATCTTGAAGCACTTGCCCTGGTACACCAGGGGCATGTTCCGCGTCACCTCCTCTCCTTTCACCTTCTTTGACTGGGTTGGGGTTGGGGGTACCTTGTAGACGGTACCGAACGAGCCGTCGCCTATCTTTGGACCCAGTAAGATGTGCTCTGGCTCTATCTCCGCATTTGTGCTGCCGCTGCCTGGCTGCACCACTCGCCCCATCTTTTGTGTTTATCTTTTTTTCTCTTGCATTTCTCTTTATCTTTCATGTTTTCTTTAACAAAACTATATTGTCGACCAGGGTTGGTGGCCATTGGCCGAGAGTTGGACTCCTGCTGGGGTGCCTTTGGCGCAAGTAGTCCATTTCCATTTCTCACTCCACCCGCCAACAAGAACAACAACAACCTTCTCAAGCAAGCAAGTCACGTAACACCATCACCACAACCAACCTCACTCTCGAGATGTCTTTCCTCGCACGCAAGTTCGCTCGCCTCTTCTCAACCTTGAACACCACAACCTCGACGACTACCACCTCTTCAGTCGATATCGCCCACCTCAAGACCTCCATCCCCGACAACAACCAACACGAAGCGACAACCCCCCTCAACCATCAGGACGACAATGGACTCCAGAAGCCAACACGAGGACCTCCTTGGTATGTCCTCACCTTTTCTTCTTAGTTTCCATTCCTTGTACGTCGTCTGACCAAAGCGTGTTTTCTCGACATTTGTAAATGGTGAAGGTATGTCGTTTACGTTCGTGTCAGATCAATTCGAGGAGCTGGCCACCTTCTCCAACGACGAGACCCTCCAGCTGGGCGAATTCGCCAGCCTGGCCTACCTCGACCGCGACGCCAACCTCGGCGTTGCCTCCTACACCACCGTGAGCCCCTTCGCCACCGACCTCTCGTCCGGCTTTGTGCGCGCCCGCGGTGCCGAGGTCGTGGTGACCTACAAGGGCACCGACACGGCCAGGGACTTCCAGACCGACTTCGACGCCTGGCCCCTCGCCCGCCCCGAGCTCCTGCCTGAGGGCCGCATCCACGGCGGCTTCCTCAAGGCCTGGGAGAGCACCTGGCCACAGGTGGCCGCCATTCTCGACTCGCACGCCCACGACCACGGCCTTCAAGTGTCGGACCTCCAGGTCACCGTGTGCGGCCACAGCCTGGGCGCGGCGCAGGCCACCCTCGCGGCGCTTCAGGTGGCGCGCCACCTGGTCCGCTCTGTCGACCAGGTGCGGCTGCCCACGTTCGGGTCGCCGCGCGTTTTCACCTGGGCCGGTGCCGCCTTCTTTGAGCGCATGGGCCTCGGCGCCCGCACGCTTGTGTGGCGGAGAACAACGCCGACCCGGTGACGATGGTCAACCTGGGCAGCTTCGGGTTCAAGCACGTCGGGCTCAACCTGCGAGTGGCCAAGCCGGCCGCGGCCTGGCCCCATCTGATGGAGGGCGACCTTCGCGATAGGCACCCGCCGGGCCGTGATCCGCGCCTGCCTTCGTCTTCTCCATCTTTAATGTCCAATCAATCTTGTCTTCCATCTCATCTTAATCTCTAAAGTAAAGATTGTCAATCAGCGCGACAATAGTCATTCAAGAGCACCTCTATTGTTCGTAGCCTTTCGGTTCAAAGGCGCCGTACCAACAACGGCACGACTACAGAGCCTTGGGCTTTCTGGTGCGCCACACGGATCGCATGTCTTGCAGAAACCGTCGTTCGGTGAGGAACCTAACACACACGACACACGACACACGACACAAGCACGCACAGGTCATTTCGCCGGCGTGTGAGATGGCGCTCAACAGATGTAATAGGACGCAGGTGTGTATGTGCGAGTGTACGAGGGTGATTGGAGCGTACAGGGTGAGAAGGACAGCCAGGAGGCATGCGCCACCGATGCCCACGTGAGCCGCCGCATGGAGGAGGGTGTA